AGTTAATCAATCATGTGAGGTGAAGCTTATGATTAGTCGAAAAATTTTTTTTGCCCAACTTATTGTATTACCCTTGGTGGATTTGGTCTTTTTTAAAATAATTATAAAAAAAGGGAATTTTTTAATTTTGAAAAAAAATGAAATCGAACAGATCTCATATATTTAATGGTTTAAATAACCGAGGATGTTATTAGAAGGAACACTTCATCTCGAAAGATGAGGATATCACTTGGTAATAGTCTCAATGATTCAAACTAAGGAATTTATAAAACTTAATTGATCTGCAAAATTTCTAACAGATCATTCTCATACCTAATCCGAAGATTAGATAGAGTTTAGATTATTTGGGTTACTAATTATCATATAGGTGCAAACCCCTGTAGTTAATTACATCCAAAGTGAATAAAATCAATTAAAAAAATCTCAATTAAGATTAGGGTTTTGTCTTCATGAATTCAAAGTTTAGTTTTCATGATTAATCATACGAAAATCAACTAGGAAAAACTCAATGTGAATTAGTTATTTTGGAATCCAAATGAGCGAAAAGTAGGGGATGTCACAGGTACTGAGAAGACCTCAATGGCTTTCCAAACAATCTTATGGTTTGAATTTACATTTTTAAGAGTTACGTTATTTAATGTTTTACTTATGCAATCTAATTAAAATTTAAGGCTTATATTTGCACGACATACAATCATGCAAATAGTCTAAGAAGATGAGAGAATTTACGTCGTACCAAACGGACGACCTTAAGATCCTAAAAAGAGTTGGGAATTATTTCACATGGCATACAATCATGAGAAAGCCTAAAATATAGGTGAGGATTTACGTCGTGCTAGACGAATGACCTCAAAATCCTAAAGGCTCATGTTTACTATGTTAATGGAGAGTTTAGTAGAAGTTCATCATTCGTTTTATGTTTTTATCTTCTCTTGATCGTCTTGAAGGTTGACAGCTGCTCTATCGCACCTCACCTAATTTCATGAAAAAAAAAGGGAAGAGGAAACTATGTCTCGAGAGGCCTATCCTATGTTCTTGTTGTTTGTTTGTTGTGATCCTGTGAAGTGTATTTTAGATTAATGATTATTATTAATAAAGTGAATAAAAATGGAGGATTTTATTTTATGTTAAACGATGTCGGCCAATATCTAATGATTTTGTCGTCCCGATACCACACAGTTAGTTTCAAATTTACTTAGTTTAAATAAACTATTAAACTTCTTTCGACTGGAGA